TGGTAAGGAGTGGGTTGAGCGACACATCGCTCAGTAGGTAATATTTACCCCTCTGTTGGACCATACACTCTTAGTTTTATAGATACATATATATAGAAGTACAACCCAAATAGTTTGCAAATCATTCACATCCATAATTTTGAAAGTAACGTCATTTATAAAACAATCATTAGTAAAGAAATGACAAGCAGTTCAAAAGGCATCTTATTGATATTTATACATGAGAAATTGTAACGTCAAAAATAACTTTATAACAATTCATAAGTCTCTTCATATCCATTCATAAATGATCCTGTAAAACGTTGCATATCAGTTCATAGATCATTTCAAATCAACTCATAAGTCTCATTTCAAATCAGTTCATAAATCATTCCATATCGGCTCATAAATCATTCTTTCAGATCAGCTCATAACAAGTACATGTAATGACCGGCTACTGAGTACTCAGCCTAGAGATTTTACCCCTTCTAGGTGGGCGACCAATAGGTTTCATGACTACCGATTGGTCTCATTTCATACATGGGTCAATCGGCCGGACTTTATACCAGGCTACCATGACTTTATCAATCGGTCAATCGGTTGGGCTTTATACCAGGCTACCCTGACCTTGTCAATCGGCTGGGCTCTATACCAGGCTACCATGACTTTATCCATCGGTAAATCGGCTGGACTTTATACCAGGCTACCATGACCGTTATACAGGACTATAGCCCCTACCGTCTATCCCATGACTGTTTTGAGCTTTACTTGTCAAAAATTCATTCCACACACCACATATATAAATCTTTGAGTACATAAAAGATTCAACTCATTTGGTATATAATAACATATCAAAACATTTCAAATAAGTCATATGGTCCTTTTTGTATAGTAAAATATAACTTTCATAAATATCTAAGTAAAGCATTTAATCAAACACCTTTCGAGTCAACACAACAAAATAGGATTGAGAACAAGAATTTCATTTTGCACATTTGAAATCTCAGAAGGGTAAGTACCACCTACCTCTGTTTGGCTGTTCGAGTGGAACTACCTTAAATCCTTGTACTGTACCTATCAAATGCATGAGTTCCCTAATTAGTTGTTACTTCCTATAGATGTATAAATATATAAGCTCTAAGTAAGTACAAGATTCATATCTAGACCATTGTATGGACCCTAATAGCATTTCCCTCCAATCGGATGATTTCTATTTTTTTTGGAAAGTTTCCTAATTTAGAAAATTTCTATTTTTAGAAAATTTCTTAATTTGGAAAGTGTTCATTTTGTAAAGTTTCCTAATTTAGAAGAAAATAATTATTCACAATCCTGTTTATTATCCTCACTACTATCTTACTATATTTACTTATAATTTATGATTATCCATTATTATTATTACCATCCTCGTCGTCGCTAATTTATTTTATTATCACTTATATATATGTTAGATAGTTACTATTACCTTTCCCTTTATTTCCACTTTTAGGCGTGTATAGGTGTTATTATTATTTATGTATACATGTACATATATATATATATATATATATATATATCTATATATATTGACCTATTATAATTATAATTGTCTTAGTTTATTCCACTCGTATTATATTTGTATCTTTGTTTATATCCTTAATTTACTTCCTCCATGCCCATATTGTTATTATCCTTACTATTATTGTTTATTAATTATTATTTACTATTATTATTATGATTATTATGATTATTAATATTAGTGTTATCGTCAGCATTATTATTTACTACTACTACTATTATTATTATTATTATTATTATTATTATTATTTTAAACGTTTCGTTTAACAATTTAGAATTTATCTCACCTCATCTACATTAACCTCATAAGGCTAAATTAAGATATCCTAGATTTTTCTTTAAATATCTTAGACGTAATTAATTAAATAAAAGTTTTACATGACCAATACTTGAATTCTAACAATTTCTTTAAATTGGGTCCTGAATTTTAATACCCATGATCACCTATAAAAATGGACTAGTTATATTCAAAATTTATTTATTTTATCTTATATTTGGTTAACATCTAAATTATCCCTTTTTCCTCTTCGGGTGAGAGCCATGGTTGGCCAGAAGGCCAACCATTTCCTTTTAGACCATAGTCGTCACAAACCATTTTGTTTGACCAAGGTCTGGCAACAACATTCCTTCCATTGGTTGGCCGAAAAGGCCAACCATTTCCTATGTCCATTGTCGCCAGCAAGTGCTGGCGACATCAACTTTCAACTTTTTTTTTTTTAAAACATATTCAAACACCCTATAATATCAGGGTTAAAATCAACCCCCCTATTCCTATTAATCCAGATACGAATCTTATCAAAACATACATATCTACACCTATATAGCAACGATACATGCCCATAAAATTATTAGAACAATTGATACAACTACTAAAACTTAAAAGAGAGGTTCTCTTGTGTGAACTCGAGACTTACAGGTTTAGGTGCCTAGTCGTCGGATCGATTGACGGTGTTGCCTGCTTCTCCTTCTCTCCTCTCTGACGGCTCTTGCTCTAGGGAGGTAGACGAAAGAAAAGTAAGGCTAGGGTTATTTTCCTGTTTAGGGTTTTAATAAAATCCTAAACCTAGCACTACTTATTAGTAGGTGGCTTGGGTAAGAGTTTTCATTTATTAGACCCCTTACCCTATTTAACCTAACCTGCAATTATGTTTGCTTTTACCCATAATAAATTACCATTTAATTAAATTGGCAAGATAAAATGAGCCCAAAAATCGTGGGTTTTACAAGACCCGTGCAGTCAAACTATTCCCATGAACGTGCCTAGATACCTTAAATACCATGTGATCTTTCTAGAAGGGACCACACAGTAAAACTGTTCCCGGAAGAAAATGGGGGGCATCGCTGGTTTTGGGCATCTTTAGACATTAACTTAATCTAAACGTGTTTAGGGTTTTCTTATTCAATTATATTAACTTCTCATTTCTGTCATTAAAGCAAATCTAATAAAGTACAGATAAATAACATTCAAAATTAGATACGAATCACTTGCTATCTAATAGCACCATGCATCCTACTTAAAATAGGACGATCAGAGAATAAGTTATTATTATATGCTTAGTTGGTGAATATGGGTCCATCAATCACGATAATTGTGCCCACTAATTACTAAAAACATATTATTTAATCTTTATTGTGTATATAATATCTAGTGACTAATTACATCAAAATAGAAAAAGGAAAGGAAATCAATATTCGTAATAAAAAAACGAATGGACTGCGCCGTGCTGATATAGCATCACATTACTCGGCAAATTAGTGCCTCATCAGAATTCAGAAAGCCATGTGCCATTTCAATGTGATTTTTTTTATTTTGTCATGTAATCTGAATTTAATTAGAAACTCAAATTGTGTGTATGTTTCGTGCATTCAACTGTAACAGTCTATACACTATCAGTGTATATAAAATTAACTCTTATGAATAGGTTAATCTTCTATACACTTTTATTATTCGATACATGACATATAATCTAAATTTAAATTTGAAACACTAATTTTACACATGTGTCATAATAATGTATACACTATCCGTGTATATAAGATTAATAAATCTTATAAATGGATTAATCTTCTATACATTTTCACCATTAGATGTATAACACAAATGAATGACATATAATTTAAATTTGAATTTGAAACTCAAATTTTGCATATGTGTCGTACTTCTAATCATGATAATATATACACGGTCGATGTATAAAAGATTAACTCATTATGAATTATGAATTTTACCACTCTTTGAGGATTATTTACTAATTATATGTGAAACATGCCATTTGCATACCAAAATTTATCACTTTATTAGTAAAACTACAACCCTTTTTTTTTTGTCAGTTGGCAACTTCTACACTAATCCTAATCCTAATGTCCTACTCTAACATATCTAAGGGAAGGCCCAACTAGGCCAAGGGGAGCAAGAGGGAGTGGTTCCAGATCAAAGGATTCACCTTTTGAATTTTACTATAGATACAAAGGTTTGAGCCTCTGACCCTACTGCTAGGCATGCACTTTAAACTTCACAACGTGACCGAATCCCCTAAGGCGAGTTGATTGAAAAACTACAGCCTCGTTAAGAAATTTTAGTACTTTTGTAGCAGATTTTAATAATTTTTTTCGCATTCCCAAAACACACTTGATTCAAAATAAAGAAACTTATAACTAGTGACCTGATAGTATTTTATTCTTCCTTTTGCCTATTTTTTTTCTCTAGTTTTTAATCGTTGACTCGATGATAATCTTTCGATTGACTTCTACAACAATATTATTTTATGTAAGCAAACCTATTGGTGTTGCACTTAAGATACGTTTGATAACATTGAATTCTGAAAACTGAATTCTAAAATCAGAATTTATTAAATTATTGAATTGTTAAATACTAAATCTGATACATTTGAATGTATGGTATATTAAGTGATAAGTGAATTGGTTATCATGGAGGGAGGGATGGGTTAGGTGATATGGGGGCGGGAATATAAGTAAGAGGTCTCGAGTTTGAATCCTCCTGCATACACTAAAAAAATTTTTTTTTTTTAAAATGTGAATTGGTTATTACCAATTTTTGGGAGCAAGTTTTGTCTTGAAAATTTAGTATTCAAATTTTGGTTATTAAATGCATCTGAACAAGTTAAGATTTGAATTCATTAAATTTAAATGCTAAATTAGATTATCAAACAAGGTCTAAGTCTTGCAGAAGAGAGGTTAAAAGTTCTCTAAATAGTTAAACTTTCTCCTCTTCAATTAGAATGCAATTAATTGACATGAAAGTAAAAAAAAAAGTTGCAAATCATTGTAAGAAACCTTATCTAAAACTAGTCAGTCTTGATTATTCTTGAGACTCCAAAATAAAGTGGTTAAAGAATGATGTAGATTTCGTCCTATAAGTTTTAATAGGAGGTTGTTTCTTAAAATCGTAACAAGTTATTCAATTGTGAGTGAGTTCGTCCTTTAACAATTATTGCAGTTTGCAAGTAATGGAGGTAATATTTATATGTCTAGGGGCCAATGTAAGCAAGAACAACATTTGAGCACATTTAGGGTGGCAATCTAAAATGGAAAGTGAGTTTCAGAAAAATCAGGGTTGCAATTGTAAGGCAAATTAACTGAATAGAAAACTTCTAACAGCCAAATTTATGATTTTTAGAAGCATACTTGCCCCGCCCTAACTACCATGTGCCTCTGCTCTGAGTTATATTTGAACCCCAATCTGGAGAAAATCTAACAATGATTTTGGGCTTGATAATGAACTCAAGCGAGTATCATTCAATTGAGTTCATCTTTGCTGATTTAAGGTGGAGTATGTTTACATGTTGATTTCAATGAAGTCAACAAAATGATCACAAAACTATCACAATTAGAAGTATAGTTTCCTTTTATATCTGCATGTTCCTAGCCGAGCTCGCTCCAAAGTCCTAATGGTCACTACTTAAGGATCTCCAACTTAATAGTATAAAATTGATTGATTATCAATAAAGTTCAGATGAAGGATGGGGCACAACTCTCGATGAATATATTATATTACCATCTGATGCATGAGGTCTTTAGGCCAATGCTCACCAACTTTGACCATCAAGGCTCCAAATAAAACTACCTTGCAAGCCTAATTCATCCTTCTTGACACTCCAGATTCTTATTTGTTAACTTTTTTTTTTTGGACAAAAATTTTAAAAAATAATCTGGCGCCCTATAAATTGTGATAGAGGAGACTCGCCTATATACTCCACAAAATGAAGCGCAATCATAATTTCTTCTGCTTTTTATCTCTCTTTCTCATTTGGTTCCAGGCAGTTCAAGCACAAGAGAATGGTGTTTATATCGTGTACAAGGGAGCAGCTGCAACCTCATCAATTGTTGCCAGAACAAATGATTATGTTCAAATTCTGAGCTCCTTAGGAGAAAGGTATGATAAATCAGAAAGCAAACACTCTTGACAAGCTTCTTCAAGCATTCCATCTAGTTTTTCGAATCTTGAATCCTTAATAGTACTATTGTTGGAGCTAAATGTTTTGCAACTAAACCAGGGGTGAATATAGAGTTATACACAGATACAACAATGGCTTTTCGGGATTTGCAGCTCGTTTATCAGAGGAAGAGGCAGAGTCAATAGCTCGAAGGCCCGGAGTTGTATCTGTTTTCCGCGATCCAGTCCTTGATCTCCACACAACACATTCGTGGGACTTCTTAAAGTATCAAGATGATGAACTGGGCATCGGTTTCAGTCAACAATCAACCTCAACTTCCTCTGCATTACATGGGGAAGACATTATAATCGGAATCTTTGATACAGGTTAATTGCCTAGAATGTAGACATATGAGGAAAAGTTTGTTTTTTAAGTAAAACCATCAATGGACTAATGCCTATTAGTACCGTGGGGAAATCATTCTAGCATCCAAATCAATGCTACTAGATCATTTGTTCTAGCTTGCTGGCTGCATGACTAATTTCAAATTCTAATCCAGGGATTTGGCCTGAATCAAAGAGTTTCAGTGATGAAGGTTTGGGTCCAATTCCGTCACGCTGGAAGGGAACATGCATGGAAGCCCCTGATTTTAGTTCTTCCAACTGCAATAGGTAATCCTTACACAGAAATTGTGTAGATTTTCATCTCATGCTTTAATTGATCCAAAGAAGGTATAAATTTCTATCCTTCTTGCATCAGGAAATTGATTGGAGTAAGGTATTACAACAATACTGATTTTGATCCGAGTCCATTTAATACCCCAAGGGACCAGGGTGGCCATGGTACTCATGCTGCTGCAATCGCTGCAGGAACCCCCGCCCGGGGTGCATTCTACCATGGCCTAGCAAAAGGCATTGCTAGGGGTGGGTTTCCAGGGTCTCGTATTGCTGCATACCGTGTCTGTTCTCATTTGTATGGATGCTATGGGTCTGCCATTCTAAAAGCATTTGATGATTGCAGAGTCCCCATCCTGGGCCGAGACACGTGGCAGCACAGGAAGGCCAGAGTTGGGCTCGGACCCCAGGCCCATGGCAACCACCTTGGGACACGCCGCTGCTAGGGCTCTCTGGGAGTTCGGAGAACAATCCCGCAGAGGGCGGGGAGAATCTCCCTCAGCGCGGGATTGAGTTTATACTGGGTAAGCCCCGAAACGTACGGAAGTCGGACTCCCAAGCAGGTATAAATAATAAAACACACCGACTGCATAAGGTACGCTCACTATTGGCAAAGCATTCCCAACTGTTTTTCTCTCAGTAAATTCCCCTCACCGGAAAACTAACTTGACCGTCGGAGTGCCCTCGGGGACCACATCGGGGCTCCTCTGCTAGTCAACCTATAGACCCCTTCTCGTTTATTTTGCAGGGCTTGGACACGCTTTCATCATCAGCACGCCGAGCTCATTAGGTCAGCTCGGTCCGGGGAAGCTCAGCGCTTCTTCAGTTGGCGCCGTCTGTGGGAAGGAAAGGTACGAGTAGTTGTGTTGATGGCGAGAACGCGTTCCAAACGAACCGTAGAGAACACCGATCCCGGAGTCGGCGAGGGGTCCCGGCGAATGGAGGCCGAGGCGACCCGGGGTGCCGGGGGCTCAGCCCTTTCAGGGGAACGTAGACAGCAGATCTTTTAGTTCGTGACGGAGAATCTCCCCATGCTAGAGGACATAATTCGACAAGCAAAGGAGGGGGGCGAGGCTGGGGGCGCGCAGACCTCTAATGCGAAGGGGAAGGAGAGGGAGTCACCTCCCGTTCTCTCAGAGGATGAGTCACGGGACCAGTCCCCCAAGAGGAAACGACCACGGACTCCCCCTCGGCCGCGGGCCTCGGTGGTCGGGGATAGCGAGAGGTATTCTCGCGACCGGTCCGCTGGGGGCAGACCAAGGAATCCCTCCTCGTGGAAGCTCGCGCGGAACGAGCTGAGTTTTCCCCCGCCCGATCTATCAAGAGCCAGCCGTGGGAACCTCCCCAGTGGCAGCCTGTCCGGGACGAGTTTGAGCAGATCCTGCGGCCGCAATTGTACGAGGACAACTACACAGTCTCGCCCTTTACCCGAGGGATAGAGGACTACCCGTTACCTCGAAAATTCAAGATCTCGAACATCGAACTGTACGACGGTTCGGCCGACCCGGAAGACCACCTCTCGGTCTTCCTGACGCACATGCGTCTGCAAACCGCTGCGGATGAGGTCCGCTGCAAAACCTTCCCCATGTTTCTGAAGGGGAAGGCCTGGCTCTGGTTCCAGGGTCTGGCACCGAGGTCCATCCGGAGTTTTCCCGAGCTGGCCAGACAGTTCGCCGCCCAGTTCGTCTCCTCGAAGACTTACTCGAAAAACGCGGCTCACCTGATGGCAATCAGGCAAAAGTCGGACGAGTCCCTGAGGAATTTCATGACCCGTTTCAACACGGAGAGCTTGCAGATCAGGGATAAGGATGAAAAGGTGGTCATGACCGCCTTCATGAACGGGTTCAGGGTGCAGGAGCTCTTCTACAAGCTCGCCGAGAAGCCTCCTGGAGACCTAGAAGAGCTCTTGACCAGGGCACACGTGGCCGCTAATGCGGAGGAGGCTGCTCACCTGAAGAGAGAGTCAGATCGGGAGCTCGGAGATCGGAGAGTATAGACACCAAATTTTTAGTGTAATTTCATTTACTATTTATTTTTTATTTTTATTTGTCGTGTTAGTTTTTATTTACTTTTTAGTTTTTTAGTTTTTTATTTCAAGCCATTTTAGCATAGAATTTCTCGGGAAAAAAGAAAAGCATTCACAAAAATATGTTTTAGTTATTTTAGATTCAAATTCATTGTTAATTTTTTTTAAAAAAAAAAAAGGGAAAAAGAAAAGAAGGAAAAGAGAAAGAAAAATTAGCATTTGATTTTATCTTTTTATGCCTAGTTTCGCTCATTTTTATTCGATCTTACTTAATTAGTTATTTTTCTTCATATTGTGTTTATTGTTAATTAAATGAAAAAAAGGAAAAAGACGAAAAAGAAAAAGGACGCAAGCTTCATGCAAGATGCCATCTGATGGTCTTGATAGGAGGAGCCAAAATGCAGCTCCAAATCTCATCCCTTGGTCTTAGGTTACGGGGGGATTCCGGATGCCTATATAAAGGAGGTTTTGACGGCTGAAGAAAGGAGAGAAGGGTTAAGTAAAAAGAGAGGGCGGCGGAAAGGAAAACTGAGCGAGGGGACTGAGAAACCGAGAGTGTGGGATGGAGGAGAAGGCTGGCGGCTAGGAAAAAAACTTCAAGGAAGCTGCGAAGAATGAGGAGAGCTTGAGAGGCTGACGGCTAGGTTTTAGGAAAGAGCTCCAAAAGAAAAAGGGCTGAGAGGATCAGGAAAGAATGAAAATGACGGATGAAAATTTTGGAAGAAGGTAGGGAGAATCCAGTAGCGGTTAGGGCTTAGGAAAAGAAAGAACGCCGCTTTGAGGAGGAAAGAAACTGTGGAGAGAAAACCAGAAAGATCCAGAGTAAAAAGGAATAGTTCGAGCAGGAGGAAGTCTTTTGGGGGAAAGAAAAAGGAGAAACGCCGTTGCTGTTGCGGCCAGCGTTCTACTGCACCACCTCAACTCCTCGTCACTGCCACTGCCTGACAAGCGTCGTTGCCAACGGCGGATTTGGTAACAAATCCTGGGGTAGCTGAGGTAGTTCTTGAGCTGTCTTTCCCAGTATATAAGGTCAAGTATATAGCAGATTTTCGCCATATTGATTGCCGCATCTTCTTGCCCTTTTTGCTGTGTTGTTTGGCTTAAAGCTTTTACCGTATTCGCACATGATTAAAGTGATGAATTGTGTTCAGGTTTTGGGCTTCATGATCTTGGGTCCGTCCAAGCTTTTGATGTTGTTGTTGATGTATTTAGTTGATAATGAAACTCAGTCATTGGTGGGAGTTCATGGCCGTGCCTTTGTTTCTTTTTGTGTATGAATCTGGAATGGGGTAGCTTAGAACCATGGAATGTTTGATGTTGGGGTTACGTGTTTTGGTCCAAAGCTATAGAAAACAGGCTCGAACGTTTGATAGGTAGATAAATTTCTATAGCTTTTAGAAAGCTTCGGTCAGATTGCCTGAAATTGTTTTTGTTGAAGATGCATGCTGTTGGACCCTCCCTGCTGTAGTTCTCTTGGTTTGCATGATCAGCTTTGTGAAATGTCAGTTGTATAGAATGCTTAGCTTTGTTTCAAACTTTCTTTGTTGCTTCTCGCAAGTTTCTGATTTGTTATAGCAGTAGCCATTACCATGCAAATGCTGAAAACATTAGCTGCTTCAAGCTTGAACCCTGCTGCATTTTCCTGTTGTTGAATGCTTATGGCTATAACTCGCTACACTCAATTTATTTTTTGGGTTGTAAATGGGAAGACAGTACGTGAAATTTGACTAGATTCAGGCCCTCTTGGCTAAGCTTGTTTGAGATTTTCATTGCATCTTCGTTTCTTCATTTTCTTTCTCCAAAATTCACTGGTTGTTCAAGAAACTGCCTTCCAGTTGAGCTACGAATCTTTGTCAAACACTTTGGACATTTTTGCTTGGGGTTTTGAATGGGTCTTGACCTGCTTGTCTTACCTCTTGTGGTGATAAATTGGCAAATGGTTGGCTGTTTTGGAGTTCATTCGTATAAATGGTTACTGGATTGTTCAGCTTTGGAAATTGCAGAACCCGTTAACCAGAAATGTTGCGATGAAAGGAAATCAGAAGGGAGAAGGCTATAAAGCTTGGTGATCCTATTCTGGGGTTTCTTTTGCATGTTTAAATGTTAATTCCCAGCAATTTTACTGCCTAGATTAAAGCTTAGATGTTCAGTCGAGAAAGTTCAATTGAAGCGTGTGTTTGAATCTGAAGTTTGGGTGCGAAAGTGAAATGGCAGCAGGTTTGAATTGCAGCAAGCATCCTCATGGATTGTATGATGTTGCCTTGAAAATCCTTGTACAGATGTCTAGTATTTTGGTTGCTTTGTGGTCTGGGTTTTTTTAGCATGTTTTATTGAATGTTCTGGTTTGATGTTTGAGCAAAAGTTAAGAATTTCTGCTGTTTCTTTCCTTGTTTTCTTGCTTGGATACTCTCTGTTGGGATCACTAATGATAGATAATTATTGCTTAAAGTTGATAATTTGTGGAGTCACGTGAATTTGGGTTGATAAACAATGAGTGTTGGGTAATGTTTTGATGGATTTGGTTTGAAGTCTTCTGCCGAAAGCTTCACAAGTTTGTGAAACTTTGCTGCAGAATGTTTCTCACGTCTTTGCATGAAGATTGCATGAAATAACTTTCTAAAATTGCACTTTGGCCCCCAAGTCTTCTTTTGTTTCACTATGGCTCAAATGATTGAAAAATTGATCAATTTAATCCCTTAAATTTCTTTAATTTTTTGCAATCAAGTCTTTACTTTGTTTTAATTTCTTAAACATGAGTTATCTGTTTTCTTTCAAGTGTCTTTGACCAATTTAATTTATGCTTATTCCATTTTGCGATTATTTGTTAATTAAAGTGATGCCTTGACCTTTTCTTTCATTTTTTGAGGGTAAATAAGTAATTTCACTCCATTAGGACCCCAACTCAAGGGAGGTACACTCTGTCCCTTATTCTTGACTTTATTTTGACCCTATGTGCCTTATGTGACTGTATGTGCTCAATTGCATGCCATTTGGATGCTTTCATTTTATTTATTTTATTTATTCGCTTTATTTGTTTTAATTTAGTATGTTTATTTTATTTTAGTTCGATGTTGATCATTTGAAAGGCACTCGAATGCCAAATTTGTAATAGTTAGGAATTTAATTGTTTTATTCATTCTTATTTCCCCTTTTAGATTGTAGTAGGCTTCCCCCTCCAGATGTAATAGTTAGGGTTTCTTTGTTTTTCTTTGTGTGATTTGCATGCGTATGTGCTAGGTGTTTAATTGCTTTCTTAGGGTTTGGCATCTAGATATGTATGCTTATGTGTTATGTGAATTACGTGCTCACATGTCTACTTTC